CTGACAACTTTGCACTAGCATTTCAAAACTTTGTAAGCACTTTGTTAATCACTTTGCGCTTGGGTAGCGGTACAGTGGGCGAACATAATTCACTTTTCTAGACTTTTACATATTTGTGTTCTAAATTTTACTGCGGGGTTCTATATGAAATGATATAGGGGGAATATACAAGCAAATTCATCAAATTCATCGCGTTTCACATTTTTAGTGTGTGTTTGTACATTTTACGTCCGACTCACATGACAGTCTGCTAACAGGGTTATCTCAGGTTGTCTCTCATGCAAGTACTAAAAACGACCGATTGAACTTTACTTTCATGATCGGTCAATCATCTGACCACTCATCTATCACTGTCATTTGAAATTTACCATAAATGGCGGTCATTTATTGTTTGGAAATGTTTCAAAATTCTACATCCTTCGAGGACCACGACAATCTTCAAACGGCCTTTTATGACATATTTATTCGCTTTCGCGAACTTTTAACTACTGGTCTCAATAATGTAACCGCATAAGTAACATTTCCATGTAAATCTTTCAACTTAGCACGAGCTTATCACAACTTGCTACAATGTGTTAGCATAAAACATAATTGGAACTACTTCAGGATGATTGGAAGTGGGATATATTTGGTAAATGACTACCGATAACACATAGTGCACAGTAATTATTGCTGCAAGTGTATGTAATAAGCTTTATATTTACAAAATGTTTCTTCTGGAATGACAATTTGCTAATTGACTGAATAACACTTTATTTTGGTCATTCTTTTACCAAAATCACTTAGAAGGACTTTTGTCATTTTGATCCATTTCCATTTTAATGGTAGTGGCAATCCGGTGTTGTTCTTAATGATGGGACATGTTTAGTTGATTCAAATATCTCCTTTTTCAAATATCATCAAATATATCATATTAACATGTGTTAAATATCAAAATACCTAACAATTCAAGCATTTGTTTCTTGCAAAAATGTTTTTACATACAAATGAGTTACTATTTTTTTCCTGTGAAAAAATTGGGAGAAAGGGTGATTTTAAAAACAATTACCCAAATAAATAATGAAACTGGTGTTATCAAAAGCTTTTCAAGACTATTCGCCAGTCACCAAATGTTTAACTCGAGACATTTTATGCAAATGTTTATAATTCCAGGCCATTTACAAAGTTACCCAAGGCATAATCGCAACTTGGGGCTATTTTCAACAACGACCCCAAACAAGGACTTTCCAATTCAGCGCCACTCTGCAAAAAACCTTAGGGTTTAAACTTAGGGCCATTCACCAAGTGATCCCAGAATTCTTTATCCTGGGGACATTTACAAAGTGACCCCATATTTTTAACTCTGGGCATTTGCCAAGTGATCCCAGAATTCTTCATCTCGGGGTCATTTACAAAGTGACCCCATATTTTTAACTCTGGGCATTTGCCAAGTAACCCCAGAATTCTTTATCTCGGGGTCATTTACAAAGTGACCGCAGGTTTTTTTAAGTCATTTGGGGGGGGGGGATTCCACAAAATGAACTGCATTTTTTAACTAGGTTTTTAACTCTAGGCAATCCATCAACTGACCCATGGTCGTTAATTCAGGGGACCATTCATAAAATTGCTATTGATTTCCATCCCAAGAAAACATAATACTCCCAGAGCTCGGCAAAATGTAAGAACATGCAATTTATATTTTTATATCACTATTCAACTTTTCGTTAATTTATGTAGTCAGCCATTTTATGTGTATTTGTAATTTCCATTGCTATAATTATATACACGGGTAATGTGCACAAAGAAAATTTGAACTAATTTGCATCCGTATCTCATGAAGAAATCATTTTCTCGATTTCTGACAACAGATTCTATGATGTCATATTTTACCCATATTTCTTTGCTTGAGAATCAAGGTGGCTGACTACATAATACTGATGAAAAGTTGAATTATCTAGAGAATGAAAAGTGGTATAAAACAACTGTAAACTGCACTCCTACATTTGCGGAGCTTATTCTTGAGGGATCATTATGTTGTTTGGCAGAAAGCACCATATTTTCAGCTAGATTCTAAATTAAATCATAGATTTAAAAAATATGTCACTTTTTCTGTACTGTCACTCTCACCCCAATACATATTACGCATGCACAACATTTACTGTTTATAAATTTATTATTATTATCACGAATAGCTCTCATCTAATCAACACCTTCACTGTCAATCATCTTTGACAGCATATCGCACAATACACCTAGTTTATCTGTATTGTTTTCTGCTGCAATGCAGTGACGACCTGTCTCAACCACAGCTACCATTCCATTACCTGAAACAAAGAAAATTGAATTATAAAAATTATAACAATATTATCTATATATTAACAATTATAACATTTTTAACCTAATAAATAGGTCAGGCTATTCTGATACCTATTATGTTATAAAAAAAGGGAAATGTAAGACAATAAATAGTACAGCAATGTATCTAAGTCAATGTCGTCAGAATACAGCCCAGAATTATGAGATTTTGCAAAAAAAACATCTGGTTATAATACAATCAGCAGCATAAAAACTTGATTTCTATGACTAACAAGTGTTAGATGCATGTTCATGAGAAATTGTATTTTTACCTTGCCTGTCTCATTGTAGATGAAGAGAAATGTATGTGAATGGATGAATCTATGTTGTTGCTGTTCATTTGGTCGTCAAAATAACCCAGTCTATTCGAATTCAAATAGAGTACATTTTATAAGCAAATTTTTTGAAACATTGGTGAACTTTCTCCTAAAATTACATTTTATTTGTGGTCACATTAACTCAATTTTTTTTATGAATTTGAAAATTGTTATAACAGTTAAATTTTGGTGTGACTGAGCAAGTATAGAGCATGTGGCTGAAATAAGGAATAGGTTGTAATTAAGACGATCAAATTGACTACTATACCTGACTTATCAAAAGCCTGAAGAATCCATCCATTTGGCATGCTGAAATTGTTGATGATATGTTCGTACAATTCTGTTGGCCTTTCAAAATTATCTTGCTGACATCGCTACAAGTTTTCTGGGCGATCTTGTTTAAAATTTGTGCACATTGTGTCTTTCCCCTCTGCTTTGTATTGGCCAAACACAAAACACTGTACCACTTCCGTTATGACCGATGAACTTAGGGTACCTAAAATAAAGAACACAAGTAACAACAACAATTTTAAATCAATGATACCATACCATGCCATGAAGATGAATATTGTGTACCAGTATAGAAGACAAACATTTGTTGTATGAGAATGGCAAGCAGTCAAAACTTCTTACAGAGGTTTGACCCGAATTGAAAATTGTTATAATCATTATAGTCATTATTATTGTGTAATACCATCAGAATCATGGAAGTAAATCGAGGTCTTCTAACAATTTTGTCAAGATACAGAAAGTTGTGATAGAGCATAATCAAATTTTACACATAATTCCAAGGTGTATTTTTTTCTGCACAATTTTAATTGAGGACAATATTGAATAAAATATATACAATTGTTTCCTAAATGGCTCTATGGGCCATTATTAATATTGCAGAACACTGCAGTCATCGCAATTGTACATGCATGATTTATGGGACCATACGAGTTAAACATATCCTACAACTTAGCGTGACGACGGCCATGTTCAGTGCCATCGCTGAAACCAGGGCTGGCGAACCCCACGTCCTGGTCTGCGAGCACATGCCCTATATAAACATGGAACTGCACTGACAAGGGTTTCTAAGATCGCTGAACCCATCTTACTCAAATTGAAACTTACTAGTCACCATTTTATTTTGAAGAATAATGTAATGAATTATGGCTAAAACAAATGGTTCATGCACAGTTGCCACAACTCAAGTTGAATCAATTTACATTCAAGAAGTCTGCAAATTTTGGCTTAAGGAATCACAGCACCATCAAATACACTAAAAAATAACTGTCATTATTTTACAGTATTCATACCTTGTGTGGGCGTCTGTATGTGTCAAAATGCGGGCTGCACAATTCTGAATTTTATGTCTGAGTTCATTATAACAAATCTGTCAGAGATATCTGTCTCTTGTATCTGTTCTATTAAAGCCTTTTGTTCTTTCCCTTTGAGGTTGAGGACATCCACTATCTTGCCAATAGGAATTTGTGGTGTTGAGAGCAACTCCTGTGACTTCAGTTTTTGCCCCTTTACCCTACCCTCTTCAAACATTAGAAACAATGATAGGAAACTTGAATAGTTTCACTTTTCACAACATTGAATATAACATTCATCAAGGTAGAATCAACTTTCTGCAACAACAAAAAAGATATTGTTTTATTTTTTAAACAAACGTAGACATTAAGTTGCCACAAAAAACGGATCTTCATAAACACTCCACTTTACAAGTAAATTGTATTAGGGATGCTTTAATTTGGTCAACTATTGCAATGTGGTTTTTGGTAAAGTCATGGTAATCACAAAATCATGATTAACACAGGCTTCATCATTTATTTTCTTAGATAAAAGAATTATGTCTCTCATACAAAAAAGAATTGAACCATATCAAAAATATAATATAGAGAAGTCGGGGTTTGATTAAATTTTGCTTAAGTTGGTAATGTTAGGTATGTCACTTGTCTGCATATATATATATATATATATATATATATATATATATATATATATATATATATATATATATATTCTCACACAATGTTTTCTAATGATAAAATGCAAAACAATTCTTCTTACATGTAACAAAAATCTTCTCAGTTTTACCTCAGTATCAGAAATTACATAATCACTCAGTATATTTTTCAGTTAACTTGTAAGCTGGTTCTAGAGGTAGTGTTTTGGATGCAGTACTTATTATACAAAGTATCGGTTTCTTTCTGGTTGAAATTAGTATAACGTAATATAAATAAACCACTAGCAGTCAGCTCACTTGATATTGCACAATGCATTTCATTTATGCACTTGCAACTCGTTCGGTATACCCAACTGTGGATGTAGGTTGTGGTGGTGAATCCCTAAATAAACTTTGAACCCTTGATGAATTCCTGATTTGATCATGACAATAAACACTTTTGAAAAATACATACCAAAGGTCTTTCTAAATAAACATCTAATTAGTACATCTAAAAGCACTGCTGAAATATATGGATGCAAACTATTGTATGCTACTATTATTATCTTCAATATACTTACTTCTTTCAAATCATAGCACATGATTTTTCCCACTGACTTCTAGTATCTTCAGAATCATACATTTCCAGCAATCTTTCTTTACACATTTTGACCTAAAAAAATAGAAAGTAATGATGAAAACAGTTTAGTTGAGTAGTTTGTTTAATTTGGTCAAAATATAGCCATAGATGTTCACAATATGCTACAGAGTGTTCTGCGTTAGTTCAGAAAGTAAGCTGTTATGAGAAAGTTCTCAGTCTGCTGCTAATTAGAACATTATGTTAATTTATTCAAATGTTATTGTTATATACTAATAGAAACTTATTATTTTGATTATTATGCCAAATCATATAACTACACACAAGGCGCTCCATGCTGCAAACAGTCCTCAAAATAAC